AAGTCGACCAGCCCTTCTGGTCGACCAGGAGTGACGTCGACTTGGAGCTGGTCGACCAGGGAGTAGTGGTCGACCTGAGGAGGTCGACTTGGGGTGGTCGTCGACTTGGGAGGTCGACGGGCACGTGCAAGAGCTGCTGGTCGACGTGGTTGCCCGGTCGACCAGGTTACCTGGGTGACGAAGTGCTGCGGAGAAGTGCGACGGTCGCCCAGGCAAAGGTGGCGAGCACGACCTCGGTGGTGGTATCCCGAGGTCGTCGTGGCGGACCAGAGGCAGTCGTCAGCTCGAGGTTGACGTGGAGTGTGCGCTGTGCAGGTGACGGGACTCTGCACGCCAATCAGCTACGCACACCTGCGAGGCGGGTGCACTGCTGTCCTGCGTGAGCAACGCTGGCACGCCGTCAACCTGCGACGTTGGCACGCCGTCGACCTTGCCTTGCTGGAGTGCGGTCCACCAAGTCGTGCTGGAACGCGGTCGACCAAGCTGCGCTGGCAGTTGGCCGACCTGAATGCTTGCTCTGATGTAGTCATGCTATGCCAACTTCATTGTACCAATTGTTCTGAACTTTTCCTAGTGAAACTCTTGCCAATTTTCCCCGTGAACTAGCAAGTAGTGTGTACACAAGGAAAACGACTAAGGAACAGAGAACGCAGAGATCACACGAGCACACGTGCCTAGCCCGTAGCCTAGCTCCCGTTGCTGCAGTTATCTCCGCATTGGCGGCCTACTGTGCTGAGCACGGCTTTGAGCAGCCGTTCACGCTTCCGGCCTCTCCACAGCAAAATGGGGTTGCGGAGCGCCGCATTGGCCTGGTCATGGAGGTCGCTCGTACCTCCTTGATCCATGCGGCTGCCCCCCACTTTCTGTGGCCGTTTGCGGTCTGGTATGCTGCGCATCAGCTCAACCTCTGGCCCCGTGTCTCCTTGCCGGAGACCTCGCCCACACTGCTATGGACGGGGGAGGTTGGCGATGCGTCGCGTTTCCGGGTCTGGGGATCTCGAGCTTTTGTCTGCGATACGTCTGCGGACAAGCTCTCCTCCCGTGATGTTCCGTGCGTCTTCCTCGGCTTTGTCCCGGACGCGTCTGGTTGGCAGTTTTACCACGCCACCTCGCGCCGAGTCTTGCCCTCTCAGGACGTCACTTTTGACGAGTCCGTCCCCTACTACCGCCTCTTCCCCTACCGCACTGCCCCGCTCCCCCCCCCGCCTCTCTTCCTCGCACCAAGTGCTGCTGTTGTAGACCCCCTCCCCCCTCAGGGTGCCGCTCCCTCAGGTGTGTCTCAGGTAGACCCGGTTGAGCCTGTTGAGGTAGCTGTCGACTCTCGTCCTGCTGGGGGTGCTGAGCCTGGGGGTGCTGAGCCTGGGGGTGCTGAGCCTGGGGGTGCCGGGACTGGGGGTGCTGAGCATGGGGGTGCGGAGCCTGGGGGTGCGGAGCCTGGGGGTGCGGAGCCTGGGGGTGCGGAGCCTTGGGGTGCGGAGCCTGGGGGTGCGGAGCCTGGGGGTGCTGAGCCTGGGGGTGCTGAGCTTCGGGGTGTTGAGCAGCAGAGTCCGGCGTCTGGGGGTTCTGAGTCTGGAGGTACTGAGCCTGGGAGTCCTACACCTGGGGGAGCCCTCTCCTCGGAGCAGCTGCGTGAGTGGTACTTACAGTACTGCAGCATCAGGAGAGGCACCTCTGGAGCCAGGCGTGCTACTGGGACTGGTGCTAGTACTTCTCCTCCTAGTCGGGAGCTCCCCTCCCGTGAGCGGATCCGTGAGTGGTACGAACGGCGCTGCACTCTTCGGAGTGGGGCGCCTCGTGTCGCGGACCCCGCTGCTGTTGGTGTTGCTGCTGGTGCTGCGGACCCAGGTGTTGGAGCTGCTGCTGGTGCTGAGGACCCGGGTGTCGGAGCTGCTGCTGGTGCTGCGGACCCGGGCGTTGGAGCTGCTGCTGGTGCTGAGGACCCGGGTGTTGGAGCTGCTGATGGTGCTGCGGACCCGGGCGTTGGAGATGCTGCTGGTGCTGGGGATCCGGACGTTGGAGATGCTGCTAGTGCTGAGGACCCTCGTGCGGGTGTCTCTGCTGGTTCTGGTGTCACTGCACGGCCGCGGCCGTACTTCGTTTCGCTCCTTCAGCAGGTTCTTGGTTCGCTCCCTCCTCCGTGTCCTCCTCCCTCCTTAGGGTGTCCTCCGTCTGCCCAGCTGCCGTCGCAGCTACCGTCTGCCTCCTCTCTCCCTGGTCCTGCTCCTTACACTGGTCCGACTGGAGGTCTTACTGAGCGTCGTGAGCCTAAGTCACGTCCTGCGTCGCCTGTCCGTGCTGCTCTCACTGGTAGTCGTGTCCATGGTCAGCGTCTTCTTGCTGTTCCAGGCACTCACCGGATGGCGCTTCGTCCGTCCACTGCTCCACTGCGTGTCCCACTGCCGTCTCCTCCTGCTTCCTCTCTTCCTACTCTTGCTGACCCTGGGTCAGACTCCCTTCGTGCTGCTAGTCCTACTGTCATGCGTCTCCAGGCTACTGTTGTCAGTGACCCTTCCTTTGAGTCCCCTGTTGCGTCTGCCTTAGTTGCTGAGCTTGTCGACTTTGCTGCCACCTGTCGTCTAGACTACGCTGCTAGCCTGGTTGCTGAGTCTGAGTCTGTCTGTCCTCCGTCCGTCGGGGGTGAGTGTGCTCTTGGCACTGACGTCCTTGAGGACAGGCAGGAGGAGTTTGAGTGCTTTGCTGCCGCTTTGCCCCATCTCGTGTCCATGCTTGTTGCCCCTGAGGGAGACCCGGATGTACCAGACATCCCGACCCCACGCTCTTACGCAGAGGCGATGGCCGGTCCCTACTCCTCTCAGTGGCAGTCGGCCATGGACACAGAGATGGCTTCCTGGAAGTCCACAAGCACCTATGTCGACGAGGTTCCCCCGCCTGGGGCGAACATCGTCAGTGGCATGTGGATTTTCATGGTGAAGCGGCCGTCGGGCTCTCCGCCTGTCTTCAAGGCGCGTTACGTTGCACGAGGCTTCAGTCAGCGAGAGGGAGTTGACTACTTCCAGACCTTCTCCCCATCCCCGAAGATGACCACTCTTCGGGTTCTGCTGCACGTCGCCGCTCAACGTGACTACGAGCTCCACTCTCTTGACTTCAGCACTGCTTTCCTACAGGGCAGCCTACACGAGGAGATCTGGCTGCGCCCTCCACCTGGCTTCACTGGGTTGTTCCCTCCTGGTACCCAGTGGAGCCTCCGACGGCCAGTCTACGGTCTCCGCCAGGCGCCACGTGAGTGGCACGACACACTGAGGACTAGACTTGCGGCTCTTGGGTTCGCGCCTTCTACTGCTCACCCGTCGCTGTTTCTACGCACCGACACCTCACTGCCGCCGTTCTACATCCTCGTGTACGTCGACGACTTGGTCTTTGCCACTGCTGACACTGCGGCACTCGCCCACGTGAAGTCGGAGCTGCAGAAGAGACACACGTGCACAGACCTGGGTGAACTGACAAGCTATCTTGGCTTGCGGATCACCCGGGACAGAGCACGCCGCACCATCACCTTGACTCAGTCACACATGGTGCAGCAGGTCCTTCAGCGCTTCCGCTTCACGTACTCCTCGCCTCAGCCCACTCCTCTGCCTACCGGTCACTCGCTCTCAGCTCTGCCTTCGGATGAGTCCGTAGAGCCGAGTGGCCCGTATCCAGAGCTTGTGGGTTGCCTCATGTACCTGATGACCTGCACTCGACCAGACCTTGCATACCCTCTTAGCATTCTTGCAGGCTATGTTGCTCCCGGCCGTCACCGGAAGGAGCACATGGATGCAGCTAAGAGGGTGTTGCGCTGCTTGTGCAGTACGTCAGGCATGGGGCTAGTGCTTGGAGGGCGAGTCCCAGTTGTTCTCACTGGACACTCAGACGCTTCTGGGGCAGACGACCAGGCTACTCAGCGGTCGTCTCATGGTTAGTCCTTCAATCTTGGCTCTGGCTCTGTCTCTTGGCGTTGTACTCGCTCTTCTTCTGTTCTCAGCTCCAGTTGTGAGGCTGAGATCTACGCCACAGCCATGGCGGCTCAGGGGCTACGCTGGCTCACCTACTTGCTGACCGACATTGGAGAGCAGCCTCGTTCTCCTCCAGTGCTGTACGTCGACAACAAGGCAGCCATTGCCTTGTGTTAGGAGCACAGACTGGAGCACAGAACGAAGCACATTGCTCTGCGCTACTTCCTTGCTCGAGAGCTACAGCAGCGTGGTCAGCTTCGCCTGCGTTACGTGGCCTCTGAGGCCAACACTGCTGATGTGTTCACCAAGGCGCTTCAGCCTTGTGACCATCAGCGCTTTTGCACTCTTCTAGGCCTTGTGCCTACTGTACCTTATTTGCTTACTTCTTGAGTCTGTTTGTACTGTGATCTCTATATATATACATACCTGCATGTTTACTCTTGCTAGGTTGTGATCATTGTACCTCTTGTTCTATTATAAACCTGCATGTGAACTGGTCTTGTGACCACTTGCTTGTGCTCGAAATTTGTGTGGTATCCTTGAGATCCACCCTGAGCTTGTTTTGTCTTGCTTTGCCTTGACTGGTCTTGTGACCCCTAGTTCTCCCCCACTTCGCCTATGGGGGTGTGTCAAACATTATATATGTTGGTGTGTTTGTTTAGGCTACAGTTGGTTAGCTTATAGGGGGTACACAATTCTAGGGTTAGGTACTTGTACTGTTTTCACTGCTAGTTCATTCATTCCTGTTCCGTTATTCCAACAGGAAGGTACTAGGTACAAGCATAAGGAGCTTCACATTCAGCAACACCTGAGTAAGAAGCACAATAACAAGCAGCCAGGCAGCACGTCATGGTGTCCTCGAAGGAGCCACTCACGCCTTGCGGCTGGCATAGGAGAGGAGAGAAGCACAATAACATCAAGCATCTCGCTTCACGCTATCATCAAAGGAGCCACTCACACCTTGCAGTTGAGATTGAGGAGGAGAGGAGAGGAGAGGAGCACATTAATAGCGAGCATCATACGTCACGTTATCATCAAAGGAGCCACTCACGCCTTGCGGCTGGCATTGAACATTGCCTCATCCACGCCGAAGCAAAGGAAGTCCACGTGAGTGCTGTTCTCCGCCCGCAGCAGCTGCTCTTCCTCCTCTGCGCTCCACTCATTCCTAATTATGAACCGGAACATCAGCCCCATCTCTGCTACCACGCTGGGGAACATGTGATTGGAGGAGGACGGGGAGGAGGGGAAAGGCGTAAAGGTGCAAAGAAGGCGCATCACATCACAGCACATCCACGGCTCTCCACCCATTCCCGATTATGAACCGGAACACCAGCCCCATTTCTGTTTCCACTCTAGGGAATTTTATGTGAATAGTGGGAAAAGGAGGGGAGGGGAAATGGGTTGAAAGGCACAGAGAGGGCACAAGTCATATCAGCTGGAGCAGAAACCGCATATAAAATACATCATATCGCATCCAAAGCACATCACATCGCATGCAAAGCACATCACATCGCATGCAAAGCACATCACATTGCATGCAAAGCACATCACATCGCATCCAAAGCCCATCACGTCACGCCATGTCTCCCCTCACCATGTCCCCATGAATGGCCTACCGCGCGTGCTCCTCGGATGTGGCGGGGAACCACGTGTCGCAAAGCAGAGCGCACCTCTCACAGCTGGAGATGTCGGTGAACACCCTGACGAACTCCACCACGCGCTTCTTGCCCAAATACTGCAACCGATCTGCACTCCTCTTGGCGTCGACCACCCCTCTCAATCCCGGCGACTCGACCATCCCCCGCGGCAGTTCCGCTTCTTCCATCCCTCGCGGCGCTTCCGCTTTTTCCATCCCTCGTGGAGGTTCCGCTTCTTCCATCCCCCCCAGGTCCGCCTCCGAGTCGTCCATCCCTTGCGATCCCGGAGGTTCGTCCCCCCCCCTCCCCCCCCCCCGCGGAGGTGGTTCCACTTCTTCCATCCCCTCCAGGTCCGCCTCGGAGTCGTCCATGCTCCTTTGCCGCAGGCCCGCCAACGGTCTGATCGCGTCAATCATCGCCGCAACAGGCTTAAACTTGTCCGACGAGGGGTCGGATTCTATCGCGGCCGTCCATGCGGGAGCGAAACAGCTGTATTTGAATACGAGGATAGGTGGAAGGAACAAGAGCGGGATAGTTATTAGGAGTAGGAAGAAGGACCAGGACTAGCGCTATGGCACCAGTACTTGCGGCTCGAGTGTTTGAGCCTTCGGGCTAATCAGCGGGTAGAGCCAAATGAAACCTCTTTACTGAGTCATTCGCGAATATCTTATAAGGAGCCTGGAGAACCATCAGCAGATAACCGCCGTCAACTACCAATGGTCATATCAGAGCTTTCATCGGGACAGACATTCTCAAAGCAGACGGAAGGTGGGAAGGACTGCTAGTACCATGGCGAAACTACCGGTTTGAGGCTATCGCTTGGGAATTGTAGGTATTGGTACCAAGCAGCCATGGATTTGGAGCATATGTCAGCCCTGGTCACCAATCCCCAACACTCCATACTTACGAGCCGATGTGGACTTGCCGGCCAACGTTGTCAGTCCGTGAGCGTTGGGCTTGGGGGCATCAAGATCGCCGTGCATGGTCCGTGGAATAGTGATGGGGTCAAGCTATTCGGCAACTTGGAGGTTCTAAGAAGTAACTACTGTACTTTTCAAAAAGAGTAGTCAAACGGGTTGATACACCCTCATTCTCTACTATCGCACAATCGGGAGCAGCGTCTACAATGTTGTCATTCAGCTCCGCTGTGCATGTAACTGAGCCCCCTAATATTGACAGGCACACCATGCACCAAGCGTCAAAATAGAACACTCGAAATGTTCTGTTCACTTGGTCCTACATGCTGGCCAGAGATTCCACATCAAAAACACACAGATGGCAGACAAATTGGACAAGTTCGAAACACAAACTGCAGCCAAACACACATGCGAGCGCACTGTGCTTGGCTATCTTGGCTGTGCTTGGCCACACTTCCTGGCTAGTCATTGTCAACAGCTGGCACAACCAAGTTGGCAGTCGTGATTGTGCTTGTACAGATGTTCTGGCTTATAGGCCCTTCCTAAGATAGTCCACTTTTCCCATCGAGTAGAATTTTCATATATGTCCTATGCGTAGCCAAATTGAACTAGCCCAAAATTTACAGAGAATGTAAGGAGAATGAAGCTTCGTTTTGATATTTACATTTTGAACTGTTATTGGCGGTGTTCGCCAGCACATGTGAGATTGGAAGAAAAAGGAAGGCATCGGACTGGCAGCGACATCAGGAAGCGGGGCCGGAACCCTCCGAAGAGGTTTGGGCGAAATGCCGCTCGCGAAATTTCGGGCCCCGAAATGGGGAACTTTACAACCGCATATGAAACCTACCTCCCCACCTTTTCCCCAAATGGCCCAACAGCCAATTACAGCGCCAACCCACGGCAATCCACCGTGAAATGGTGGATTCATCACAAAAATCCTGCGTCCAGAAAACCTTTGAAAAGAGTTGCTTTAAAGCTTTGTTGAATGATTTATAAACGTCTTGTTTGGTACGATATTTTGAGAAAGTATATACCTTCTTCTGGATGCTTTGTCGAACGCTGTTCGCATGCTTCTGCGATGCTTGTGTGTTCAAACCTCTCAGGTGAAAACCTTCGGCAGAAGTTTGGTTGGAGTTTCCGCAGAGCAATTTCGGAGATTGGATCTCATTGCATTGTACTCTTCAAGGACATCCGGTTTAGTTATAATGAAGTTGGATTGGAGACTTGCAATGGTTAACACGTTGTTTAACAAGATGTTTAGTTGCCTCATCCTAGCATCCAAAATGACCATTACTGAAGCGTTGGTAAATGGGTTTTATTCTCAACAAAAAAGGCACATACAAGAGCATCCTACACCCCACCCTCTCTAGTCAAAGACCCCCGCCTCTTAGGGTGATCTGCATCAACCTGCTTCTCATGCTCCCGTACACTATGCCTCCCACTACACCCCATGTCTCGTGCTCTAGGCCGAGCATGCTCGCCCCTACACCTAGCCCCCATGATCCATGCCTTGGCTGCGACCCCACTTCCTGCCTGTCTTCCTGCATCTCCCATCCCTCCTTCACTAATTGTGGTACTATTGCCCTGCCCGTGCGTCCACTGCTTCCTCGCATGTCCAGCCCTGTCATGCGTCTGCTGCTCCGCCTTAGACATCCTCCAGTCAAGCCTTTACTGCTGCTTGCTTTGTCCTATCCGGTCATGCCTATACTGCTGCGGCCCTTGCACCACTCCCCTCCGTAATGCTGTCCCCCTTTCTCTATCCACACGTGCCTTCCCTGATGCCCCCCTTGCTGTCTCCACCAATGCCTCTCCTCGCACGTATGTGATGCCTCTCCTGCTGTCCCCTTTTGTAAACTCCACGCATGCCTCATCTGCATCCCCCCTTGTCTCGTCACACCATCATTTGGCCCTCTTGCCTCCCCTTCTTTTGCCATTTTCGTGCCTTTTGCCCTTCCTCCGCTCCTGGCCCCCCTGCTTCTCATCCTCATCCTCATCCTCTTCCTCCTCTTTCTCCTCTTCCTCCTCTTCCTCCTCTTCCACTTCCCTCCAACCTCCCTTGCCTCTGCCTCTCTTGTGCTTTCTACCCTTCCTCCGCGACTGGCCCCCCTGTTTCTCATCCTCCTGCTCCTCCTCTTCCTCATCTTCCTCCACTTCCTCTTCCCTCCTGCTTCCCTGCCCTCTGCCTCTCTTGTGCTTCCTGCCCTTCCTCCGCTCCTGCCCCCCCTGTTTCTTATCCCCCAGCTCCTCTTCCTTCTCCTCTTCCTCGTCCGCTTCCCTCCTGCCTCCCCTGGTTTTCCCTCCCTTGTGCCTTCTGCCCTTCCTAAGCTCTTGCCCCCCCCGTTTCTCATCCTCTTCCTCATCCCTCCCGCCTGCCCTAGGTCTCTTGTGCCTTTTCCTCTTCCTCTGCTCCTGCCCCCACTGTTCCTCGTCCTCCTCCTCCTCCTCCTCCTCCTCGTCCTCCTCCTCGTCATCCTCCTCCTCCTCCTCCTCCTCCTCCTCCTCCTCCTCATCCTCCTCCTCCTTATCCTCCTCCATGTCCTCCGAGTCGTACACCTCCTTTTCTTCCTCCTTCAGGTCCTTCGTTTCGGCATCAAGCTCAGCCTTCCCCCGGAAGGCCTCAAATCCTGACTCGTGAACATACAGCCCACGGTCGCCCCACTTGAAGCCCTTCACGTCTGTGTTGTACACGGGGGTGTGGCGTGTGAAGTGGTCCTTGATAATCCACCGCACATTACGGTGCAAACCCCCCATCCATTCATTGTTCTTCCGGTGGGAGTTGGAGACGTTCCAGTCAGTCCTCTTAACCTTTGATAGGCCCTGGTCAATCTGAAAAGGCATAGCACAGTATGGGATGGAGGAAAAACACCAACTTCAGTGGACACTCGCGTGCAGAGTTTAGAGGCTGCGCTAAATGCCCCACATACCATGCCGAGGGACTATAAAACAGCATGCCAAGCTAGAGCATACCATGGGTTGAGCAATAATTGCGTACCACCATGATTGACCAGGCAATGTGGTATGCTTTGACGCACACCCGGCGCCCGACACAGAAATTCCGAAATGCTTCCCGGACCGCATCTACAAACCGGCCGTTGGCAAACGGGAGCCCGTCTCTGTTGTTTCCCCACGAGCTGACCCGCTGTTTCCCTCCTGCGCGCATGTATGAGAATGCGGGGAAGCATGAGACATCCGTGATCATGCATGACTCATGGTTTAGGGTTGTCCAAAGGGTATGGATGAACATCGAGGGCGGGGGGGAATGAATGGCGAGAGGGCGGGAGAGTAGGGGTGGGCGGGAGATAGGGGGAGGGCGGGAGAGAAGGGGAGGGCGGGAGAGAAGGGGAGGGCGGTAGAGGAAGGGATGGCGGGAGAGAAGGGGGTGGCGGGAGAGAAGAGGAGGGCGGGAGTTAAACGGGGGGCGGGAGAAGGGGAGTGTGGGAGAAGAACCAACGGATGGCTGTCATGCGGATGTGTTTGCACATGCGCTACAAGCATGGGCGAGGAGAGCAGGTATGTAGTCGCGTGCCAAAGTGGGGATGCATTGGGGGTACGTGCTTCATCAACGTGGGGCATGCACGAGGGGTGCATGAGCAGACATGTCAATAGGGGATGGAAAACAGTCACGCAAGTACTCACTCGGTTGGTATTTTTTCCACATCTTCCGCTTCTTCTTGGTGCCCATCCACAGTTCGGCTGCACGCAGGCCTTCCACCTTGTTGCCGAAAGTGACGAGCACTCTGCGCTTGAGGTGGAAGCCACGTTCGTTCTTCCATGACGTCCAGGCGCGTTTAAAAGCGCCTATGATGTTTTTGTCTTCCATAGCCTCTCGCAGCTGCATCATGTTGATGATGTGCGTCTCGCTGATAACCTCATACAACACCTGCACGCGCTGTTTGAGCGTTGGGTAGAAGTCTATGGCATGGTCTGGCGCCTCGAGGCACATCCGGTCCCGCCCCTCTGCGAAATGAACCTACGACAGCCGGATGGATAGGAAAAAAGGATATGTGGGTGACTCCCAAAGAAGGGCGGAAACCAGAGGTCGAGAGAGTGGGATTTGGGTAACACGTGCCGCAGGCCACCCACACCACCACCAGCACCATGAACAGGGGCTCTGGTTGAGGTAGGGGAGAGCAGGGAGATAGAGGGGGGAGAGAGGGGATGAACTAGTCTGAGTGAAATCATATGGGAGAGGGAGCAGAGTGTGAGAGCACCGTACGGACTGCGTAAGGGGTCATGTTCTCCTCGTACTAAGAGTCACAACCCCCGCTGCAGCCCGGCCCGCTACACGCTGGCGCCGCATGCCACACACGCGACCAGAAGCACCATTTAGAGGGGCTCTGGAAGAGGAGGGAGAGGGGTGGGATAGAGGGGGGGGGGGGGGGGGGGGGGGGGGGGAGCAAGCGGAAAGAAGGGATTGGGCACGTGGGGATGACAGAGAGTGCTGCTGCTATCTCTGCGCCGCATGCCACCCACACCAGACCAGCAGCACCGTTTAGAGGGGCTCTGGAAGAGGAGGGAGAGGGGTGGGATAGAGAGGGGGGGGAGGAGCAAGCGGAAAGAAGGGATTGGGCACGTGGGGATGACAGAGAGTGCTGCTGCAATCTCTGCGCCGCATGCCACCCACACCAGACCAGCAGCACCGTTTAGAGGGGCTCTGGAAGAGGAGGGAGAGGGGTGGGATAGAGAGGGGGGGGGAGGAGCAAGCGGAAAGAAGGGATTGGGCACGTGGGGATGACAGAGAGTACTGCTGCAATCTCTGCGCCGCATGCCACCCACACCAGACCAGCAGCACCGTTTAGAGGGGCTCTGGAAGAGGAGGGAGAGGGGTGGGATAGAGAGGGGGGGGGAGGAGCAAGCGGAAAGAAGGGATTGGGCACGTGGGGATGACAGAGAGTGCTGCTGCAATCTCTGCGCCGCATGCCACCTACACCAGACCAGTAGCACCGTTTAGAGGGGCTCTGGAAGAGGAGGGAGAGGGGTGGGATAGAGAGGGGGGGGGAGGAGCAAGCGGAAAGAAGGGATTGGGCACGTGGGGATGACAGAGAGTGCTGCTGCTATCTCTGCGCCGCATGCCACCCACACCAGACCAGCAGCACCGTTTAGAGGGGCTCTGGAAGAGGAGGGGGAGGGGTGGGATAGAGAGGGGGGGGGGGGGGGGGAGCAAGCGGAAAGAAGGGATTGGGCACATGGGGATGACAGAGAGTGCTGCTGCTATCTCTGCGCCGCATGCCACCCACACCAGACCAGCAGCACCGTTTAGAGGGGCTCTGGAAGAGGAGGGGGAGGGGTGGGATAGAGAGGGGGGGGGGGGGGGGGGGGGGGGGGAGCAAGCGGAAAGAAGGGATTGGGCACGTGGGGATGACAGAGAGTGCTGCTGCTATCTCTGCGCCGCATGCCACCCACACCAGACTAGCAGCACCGTTTAGAGGGGCTCTGGAAGAGGAGGGAGAGGGGTGGGATAGAGAGGGGGGGGGGGGGGGGGGGAGCAAGCGGAAAGAAGGGATTGGGCACGTGGGGATGACAGAGAGTGCTGCTGCTATCTCTGCGCCGCATGCCACCCACACCAGACCAGCAGCACCGTTTAGAGGGGCTCTGGAAGAGGAGGGAGAGGGGTGGGATAGAGAGGGGGGGGGAGGAGCAAGCGGAAAGAAGGGATTGGGCACGTAGGGGATGACAGAGAGTGCTGCTGCTATCTCTGCGCCGCATGCCACCCACACCAGACCAGCAGCACTGTTTAGAGGGCCTCTGGAAGAGGAGGGGGAGGGGTGGGATAGAGAGGGGGGGGGGGGGGGGGGGGAGCAAGCGGAAAGAAGGGATTGGGCGCGTAGGGATGACAGAGAGGGCTGCTGCTATCTCTGCGCCGCATGCCACCCATACCAGACAAGCAGCGCCATGAACAGGGGCTCTGGAAGAGGATGTGGAGTGACGGGAGAGAGGGGGGGGGGGGGAGGAAATAGAACAGTTATGGTGAGCTTGGAGAGGTGGGGCAGAGTGTGAGAGTATCGTACGCCCAGCGCCAGCGTCCCTGAAGCGGGGCGTACTGGGAGAGCCTATCACACCGTAGCCAGGCCGCTATCACTGCGCATAATGGTACAAACACTCTGACCAGCATAAAGAGGTGGGGGGAACGAGGTGTTGAGAGAGAGAGCTGCAGCTATCACTGAGCCCCATGCCACACCTTGCTTAACACTTAAACATACCCACCTTCAGCAGCTTGGGCTTGGGCATCCCACGCGTTCGACGGACCGGTACGTCTACCGTCGATGGGCTTTCTGGCGCCACGCCTGGATCGAGGCCCACTGCAGATGGGCCGCTCAACAGAGACGCAATACGAGGAGGCCTAGATGGAGGGGTGCAGGGTTTGATAGGTCCTTTGGCTCCTGGCCTTGCCTTGAGTGCCGCAATTTCGCGATCCCGCTGGGCAAGCTCCCAAATGAGCTGCTCCATCGTCTTGCCGCCAGCCACATTGGGCCGACTGGATGCGCCAGGTGTGCCCATGCTCTCGCCCCTCCCCTCCTTAGTCGCCGGATCCATTTTCAAGTCTCGTCCTTCTCCCCTGCTATCCCGTACATCCCACATGGAGCCTTCCACACCGCCGCCACATTCACCCAAGGAATTCGCCCACACACCTCCTCCCACACCGTCATTGGCTGCTGCGGCGGCCGAGGGTTCGTGCCGCTTCGTTGCTCCCTCGATTTTCACCTGAACCGCGTGACCCCCCGAAAGCTTTGCATGCGGGTCCGTCGCTTCCCTGCCAAACCGCGCTGACCCCCAAGCGATCGGATCTCCCTTCCCATACGAATCCATCTGCTAGCGTAACGCAGCATACGTGTCGGTGGCTTTCCGATCATGAGGGCTTGATGGACATCGTTGCCCCATGGACTCGTAAAAATCCAACTCCCGCTTCTCCTTGCTACGCACACCCACAATTTTAGCTTCGAATCGAGGTCTCTGGCGCTTGCCATGTGGTTTGGCACGACGCACACTCTGCTTATAGCTCTTCACCCGTCCTGTCTCCGGTTTTCGCTTTCCATTGCCCTTCTTGGTCTTCCGCACACCCCTCCTCTTCAAAGGCCGAGCCTCCTCCTCATCCTCGCTCTCCGGCTCCAACTCCTCATCCTCCTCTTCCTCTTCCTCCTCCTCCTCCTCGTCCTCGTATACTTCCTCACTCCCGGATGAGCTGCCTGACTCACTGTCACTGGATCCCTCCTCCGAACCCGACGAGCTCGAAACATACTGTTTCGTCCCTTGTCGAGCTTGTCTCGCATTTCGGTCGCGACCGGCCGAGTCCACAGCATTGCGTCGTTTGTACGGAATCACAGCTTCACGTCCATGTTCTTTCCCAGCAGTCACTACTGCAGGCTTGTCCTCATCCTGATCGATACCGCCACCACCTCGCTGCTCTGCTAGCCCTGCAGCGAGAGGGATATGAGAGAGACAATCTCGGTGTCACGTCACTCACCACATAGTTGCTAGGTGCAACAGGTAACAATATACAAGGAGGGTGGCAGCGAAGGCTATGCAACCTCAAAATCAACGACAGAAGTAGCCAGGAACCGCCAACCTTCTATAACGGGCCTGGGCAGCGCCTGCTCGTCGCCACCAGCCACATCCAGCGAGAGCCTCCCCGAGGGACTGCCCTTGGCCGCCGCCGCTGCCTTCTCGTTGTTGCGCTTTCCACCACCACGCCCTTCAAGCTCGCCATGTTCCTGCTCGTCGCCACCAGCCACCTCCTGCGAGAGCCTCCCCGAGGGACTGCCCTTTGCCGCCGCCGCCTTCGCGTTGTTTTGCTTTCCACCACTACGCCCTTCAAGCTCGCCATGTTCCTGCTCGTTGCCACCAGCCACGTCCTCCGAGAGCCTCCCCGAGGGACTGCCCTTGGCCGCCGCCGCCGCCTTCTCGTTGTTGCGCTTTCCACCACCACGCCCTTCAAGCTCGCCATGTTCCTGCTCGTCGCCACCAGCCACCTCCTGCGAGAGCCTCCCCGAGGGACTGCCCTTTGCCGCCGCCGCCTTCACGTTGTTGCGCTTTCCACCACCACGCCCTTCAAGCTCACCATATTCCTGCTCGTCGCCACGCGCAGACATTCCTAGGCGGCCAGATGGACTGCCATGATACTCCGCAGCCCTCCCGCTACGGTCATAACATCTACCGCGTTGTCCTGCACGCCTGCCTGCTGACGGAGCTGCGAGGGCGGACATCACAAGAACATTAGCAGTCCAGTGCGCGCTAACCTTAATTGCACGAAGTGGCATCAGTATGATCAGTCGATGCAGGGAGTAACGTGCTACTTAGGAACCGGCGATATTACACAAACACGCACCTTCTTTGATGGGTCCGCCGTCCTCGACCTCCTCGTCGCCTTCAGACACAGCATGGGAAGTAGTGCCTCTCTTTTGTTGACGGCGCTTACGCCCCTTTCGGTTGTCACGCTTGTCCTCTGACAATGTTACGGGGGAGCACAATCGGAGCTTCAGTAACGGGAACAAGTCAAACACGATGGCAAACCGCACTTACTGGATCGGTCGGAGGTAATTAATCATGCAAGTCTACCTTTCAGCAGATGGTACCAAAGACACGTACCTTTCTGGCCGGCTTTGGGACCGATGTCATCTAAGCGCCTCACGCGCCTCTCCTTTGGTTTTGGAGGGGAGGACACGCCCTTGTTAGCGTATGCCCCAACATCGCCGTCGCTATTTGATTCGTCACCAGATGAAGAGTCCCGTCCTGACTCAACGTCATCACGCGCCGACGACGCATTGTACTTGCGGTACTCGTTAACGATCTCGGCCGTTTTATCTACTGTAACTAACTCCATATAAATTTTTTCCTCCGGCAATTTCGACGAGTCTGCCAAAACGATCGCCCCATCGGGCCCCTTAATCGTCTGACTATCCATTGCAATGTCTAGGTTTCCATTCATGCAGTAGTCTGAGGTGTGTGTTAGTTATGACGTTGCAACCTGACGGCTACGCTTCGCGCACTAAAAAATTGTTGAGCATAGAAGGGACGAGGATCAGACAGGGGCCTGGAGCAGATGACCGTCCCACATGCATGCACGCAAGAGGAGCACGGAGGTGACGAGGGTTTGAGTGTTTCCTGCTCTGTTCCACCTTGCGACATCTAGGTCCCTCGTTTCCCCAAACAACCAATCACACGGTGGTTAACGTGCATCCATAAAAAAATTGAGGCTCCAATGGGGCATGATTAAGTGGGAGTGGGCGTTTATCCGTCCAGTAGCGGCAGGGAGCGATACAAAATGTTGCTAGTGCTTGAACGTGCGCTAGTGTATTAGGGCTCACGAAAGATATCTATTCTGCCCGCACAGACTTTATGTGGCTAATTTTCATAGTCTTCCACGCGTGCCTCACGAAGCTTGGCGCAGGCGTCACGTCAATAGTAAAATCGCCACTTCGGAGAAACGGGGACGAACCATTGGCGCAATTCGTACAGCGATGCGACAGTCTGATACGAAGCCGTTATGGAACACCTGCGATAAGAACGCATGCTCGGGAGTTAGTTGTGAGTGGTGGCGATTGGGTCGCAATTCGGAGAGAACAACGTTCGTGGCAATGAACCGAGGTACGTGGTATGGCGCACGGGGGGCACAAAATGACACATTTATTTGCAAGGCTGCAATACAGTGTTGAAAGAACATATAAATCATTACTACCAAAGGAATGTTGAGCTGTCCAATACCGTATGTTTACTCACAAGTATGAGCACCGACAGTGCATAACCAGACACATCCTTCACAGACCAACTGTCAAATTGTTTAAGGAGAGCAGTGACCCTGTTACCTTGATTGTTGTTTAAATATGGTCTAGGTTAATAATATATTGGTGTCGCAACAAGGTAGCTACTGGTATGTCATTTGTGGTGCAACATTACCAGTGCCATACACAAACAGTTGGGCTGAAAAGCCCTTAGGATCTTTGCAGGGGTGAACTCTGGGTAGACTTGGTGTAGTAGCGGAAGCGTTAATTAAAGTGTTGTGAACCACCTTGCGCTTGTATGTGAGGGCAAAGTAAATTGATTAAAGCAAAGAGATACAAGATTATATAAGAGTACAAGGAATACGAAGAGATACGGTTGCAACTACTTTACTGTTGCTGTTGTGGTTCGATACAGTGACGACTCGGGCAACTGCTCTGCAGCGAGTCAGTTGTGTGTCCTTGCTGTCGCGCTGTACTTGTCAGGTCAAAGGTCGCTGACCTTTGACCTGACCGTAACCTCCGACAGTTACTTCATCCTCCGAGGGTTGACTCGCTGGTGCTTCGATACCGTAGTGTTTTGCTTCGTTTGTGTTTTGGTGTTTCGACACGACACAAGCGCTTAGGACCGATTTTTTCCAACACAAACTCCCATCATGGGGCGTCTCTGCACTGTTGTCCTGTAGGGCAGCTATAGTGCATAAATAAATTGCTTGATGTGTTGTATGTTCTTATTTCATGCTTGACAGGAGGTGACAAACACTTGCTGTTTGGTCACGTGAGTGATGGGGACTGTTTCGAAGCCTCACCAACGCGTTCTGTGACTTGCTTGTTGGCTTGTCACGATGGACTGGACGGTGGGACAAACAGATCCTCCTTATAGGTCTTGTTTGACAACATAGGCCCAATAAGTTACCTTATGCTGAGACCTGCTACCCGCCTCATCCCCTCCTGCTCCCTGCTACCTGCCTATGCCTCATTCCCCCTTGCTACCAGCCTCATTCCCCCTTGCTACCTGCCTCGTTCCCCCTT